GCTCACTGCAACCTTTGCCTCCCATGTTCAAGCAATTCTCCTGCCTCAGCCTCCTGAGTAGTTGGGATTACAGGTGCCTGCCACTACCCTCAGGTAATTTTGTGTACTTTTAGTAGAGACGGGGTTCCATCATGTTGGCCAGGATGGTCTCGAACTCCTGACCTTGTGATTACCCGCCTCAGCCTCCCAAAGTGCTTGGATTACAGGTGTGAGCACACCACGCCCGGCTGAAATTCCCCTTGTTAACCATGCCAGCACAGACCATGGACAGAGGGGAAAATGGGCAGAATCTGGCTGTGCAGGCTTCAAGTGTTAGGAATCTGGAAATACTGGAGGATGCCCTCACTGATACCAGTACGTTAAAGGGCAGAAGGGCCTCTCGCTGATAAACAGAGGTGGTTATTTCCCGAAGAGAGAGAGACTCCAGAGCACTTATTACAACATCAGTTGCAAAGCATTGGAAATCCTCATCTCCATGTGGGATTCCTCCTCCATCAGGGCACTGCCTTGGAGGATCCCATGTCTATCCATTCTCATCTCAACACCAACAACCATGCCAGGCATATTTAATATGTGGTGAAATTAATCAATGCAGAAAAACAACACACACTCAATAAAATAAGAAGGCAAAGAAGTGTCTAAGCACTTTTAGAATAATGTATGCTAAAAATTGCGAAAATCAAGTTCTGGCTCGAAATACTTATTCTTTGCTATTGGATAGATGAAGATTTTATTATTTTTTAATGCTTTCATGCAGCTTGACTTTTTCTCATTTATCCCGCTTGATTGTAAATAGCTAAGTAAACCATACCTGGGTAGGGAATTTTCCCATAGGTGACGATTTCATATAGGAGAATTCCAAACGACCACACATCAGACTTAATAGTGAAACATCCAAAGTTGATTGCTTCTGGAGCCGTCCACTTAATAGGGAACTTAGCACCTAAGGAAGAGACATGTGGTTTTCACTTGGGTATCTAAGCTTAAACAAAAAAGTCATGAACATGTGACCCCACACTTTCTTTTTGTTGTTGTTTTCAGATGGAGTTTCGCTCTTGTTGCCCAGGCTGGAGTGCAATGGCGTGATCCTGGCTCACTGCAACCTCCACCTCCCAGGTTCAAGCGATGCTCCTGCCTTAGCCTCCCAAGTAGCTTGGATTACAGGTGTCCTCATGCCCAGCTAATTTTTGTATTGTTAGTAGAGATGAGGTTTCACCATGTTGGCCAGGCTGATCTTGAATTTCTGAATTCAGGTGATCCACCCGCCTCGGCGTCCCAAAGTTCTGGGATTACAGGCGTGAGCCACCATGCCCAGCCCATACTTTCTTCTTTTGATTTATATTTTATTTTTAAATTTCAATTATTTATTTTGAATAAGTAACACATACACCATAGTATAAAATAGAGAACGAGCTAGTGATGAAACTACATTTCTCACAGGGAGCTGGTGAGTCCAACGGATGAAGGACAGGCAGACCCGGCCCAAGGAGACATGCAGGGTTCCCTTAAGGAAGGCAGGGACTTCTTTTATTTATTTATTTATTTATTTATTTTTAAAGATGGGGTTTCACCGTGATGGCCAGGCTGGTCTTGAACTCTTGACCTCAGGTGACCCACCCACCTCAGCCGCCCAAAGTGCTAGGATTACGGGCGTGAGCTACCGTGCCTGGCGAAAGGCAGGGACTTCTACCAACCACTTAAAAAATATATATATTTTGCTGGGCGCGGTGGCTCAAGCCTGTAATCCCAGCACTTTGGGAGGCCGAGGCGGGTGGATCACGAGGTCAAGAGATCGAGACCATCCTGGTCAACATGGTGAAACCCTGTCTCTACT